TATATGACTAAATTAATTTTTTTATAGTATTTTTATATTTATTACTGACTTTTAGTATATTACAATATCCTGAACTGGACCTTATCTTCCTTCTATGAATAATTATAAGTTTATTAATTTCGAGACTTTAGAGAAACTGGATCTGGGTAGTGATCAGATATATAGGCCAGGACAGAAAGAGGAGTGATAATACAACTGTTTCGGCAGAGTGTTCGTCACGAGATTGACTTTATTTGTCCTTTTGACGGATTGTAGCTAGGTTCTGTGAGTCGTAAAATTCCCTGGCTATGACAAATACAATGCAGACGAAACGCCTAGAAATGTACCAACTTCATGGTCCAACGCTGCGAATTATTATAACTACTAAGGCAGAAGTCTGCGGATAAGTTACGCTCAAATAAGTCCCCTGACAATTTTATAAAATTACGAAAACAAGGTCAGCCCACTTATATACCACAAAAATAGACATAAGCATGCCAAAAGCCATATCATCTTAATCTTTTTTTCAGCTCATGCAGAAGAGTAGTCTCTTCAAGAAAGCAACGAAGCCTGGCTGCAAACCCGATTTTTTTGTTTGCGTTTGTGAAAATGATAATAAAGGCTTAGAGTATGAAAGAATTCCTAAAGCACCTTTGATAAGATCACATTCTAGGAACTTTCCTGAGAAAGACGTAGTAATGAAAAACAGTATCCTAAGCAATTGGTTTAAACTAGACAATCGCGTGCTATTTTCGTTAGGTTTCTATTGTTGTAGCCGCATTCAAGCATACAGAATCACTATAATAAGAAATTTTTTGGGTAAACAGCTTAAAATTATTAGAAATAAATAAACTAAAAAACAATAAAATCGCAATTGCAAACTTTAAAATTTATTTATTTATTTTACCAAATTTGATATTTTTATTTCTTCTGAATCTGCCTCATTCTTTCCGCGGCGATTCCATCGTCTACCGCATGCTTAATCCAGAAATGGGTAAATTGTGTGTCACCAAAAAGTTTATCTCAATGTGCAAGGCCTCTCCTGATAAGTCCGAGGCCGTTGTGTCAATTGAGGTGCTTGCTTGGCTAATTGAATCCAGCGATGTTTCAGCCGTTCAAGGTCTGAATGATTTGATGGTTGAAGCTATAGAAGATATGTGTAAAACGGAAAAAAGCAACATTTCAGTTCAGTCTGCGTGCGAACTTTTTCAACGGTTTATCACCTTGGCAGCTTTAGACACAGGTGATTTTGAGGAATGCAAGCGAGTCCTTTTGGAGCGTTCTTCTATATTTATTAACAAGGCACGTACATAGTTGCTTTTTTGGTCTTAGGTCAAATAGTATTGCCCTATTATTCTGACCTTATGCCGAAATGACTCTTGTTTTGCATCTACCACTTATTGCATCATAGCGGCATTCTTGATTTGGCCGTCTTTCAGGTCACACATCTGGCAACTCTCCCAGCTATTTAAACCACATTTTTGAGTCTCATTAATGTTACAACTAATTCACAATATGGGCTGAATATTACTAATTTTGCCAGTGGCTTTTTGCCTTGACGGTTTCGGGTTCTATTGATTTAAGATTGTTTGTCTAGGTACCTTTAATCCGCTTTTTAAT